CCCACAGCGCTGAAACCTCCAGTGAATGGATATTTTGCTAGCGTCTGCTGCACTCGTGTGTACAACCCGACAATCGTCTGTGTATACCGGTATTCAAGTGTGCACTAGCCCATACAGACAGCCCTTTATACGCTTGCAGTGTTCATTGTTATGTAGAATTAAACCTAGTAAAATTAAAAGCAGAAATAGTAATAGAGCGAAAAAGCCCCCCCCCCCCCCCCCCCCCCCCCCTCATTCAACTCTTGATAACTAACAAACGCCTGTACCTTGCTGCAGTGAATAGTATCATGGTAGTGCTGATAGTTAACAACTTCATGATCCCCGAGCACTAGGGTTCGCTCCCCGCGGTCAACGGTTTAAACCAAAGTAAAAGTAAAGGTCCCTTTTCCACACCTTTAGGCGTATAGGGCATATAGGGATAGACCTATATTTTTATAACCAATCGGCACAAGATGGGTGATGTGGTCAGCATCACGCCGGCCGCCTCTACTTCACGGGACTGCACCCGGTACCCACTCAACAAGGTCATTTTTGAAAAAAGCCCGGCTCCCCCAGGACCTTCGGATCCGCGGCGAGCGTCTAGCTGCTCCTCCATGGGGACTCCCAGTTTAAACATATAAACATATATTATACTGTTGTGTATGGTGTAACACTGAATAGTTATAATGTTATATATGGTGTAACACTAGATAGTTAAACTGTTATATATGGGGTAACACTGGATAGTTATACTGTTATATATGGTGTAACACTGGATAGTTATACTGTTATATATGGGGTAACACTGGATAGTTATACTGTTAAATATGGTGAAACACTGGATAGTTAAACTGTTATATATGGTGTGACACTGGATAGTTATACTGTTATATATGGTGTAACACTGGATAGTTATACTGTTATATATGGTGTAATACTGGATAGTTATACTGTTATATATGATGAAACACTGGATAGTTAAACTGTTATATATGGTGTGACACTGGATAGTTATACTGTTATATATGGTGTGATACTGGATAGTTATACTGTTATATATGATGAAACACTGGATAGTTATACTGTTATATATGATGTAACACTGGATAGTTGTACTGTTATATATGGTGTGACACTGGATAGTTATACTGTTATATATGATGTAACACTGGATAGTTATACTGTTATATATGATGAAACACTGGATAGTTAAACTGTTATATATGGTGTAACACTGGATAGTTAAACTGTTATATTTCCTCCGAAGTCGAAGTACATCTGCCGGAGAGGCGGGGAACGAGTACTGCAAACAAATAAGCCAGTAAAACGGATGTACACGCAAAACTCAGGTCAAGGTAAAAGCCAAAAAGTCCATTTTGGACGAACAACCGTGACTTACCGCCGGAATTCACAGCCGGTGAACAAGAAGAAGAAGAAGAAGAAACTGTTATATATGGTGTAACACTGGATAGTTAAACTGCTATATATGGTGTAACACTGGATAGTTAAACTGCTATATATGGTGTAACACTGGATAGTTAAACTGTTAAATATGGTGTAACACTGGATAGTTAAACTGTTATATATGGTGTAACACTGGATAGTTAAACTGTTAAATATGGTGTAACACTGGATAGTTATACTGTTATATATGGTGTGACACTGGATAGTTATACTGTTATATATGGTGTGACACTGGATAGTTATACTGTTATATATGGTGTAACACTGGATAGTTATACTGTTATATATGATCTAACACTGGATAGTTATACTGTTATATATGATGGATAGTAACACTGGATATATGTAGTTTATACTGTATATATGGTGTAACACTGGATAGTTATACTGTTATATATGGTGTAACACTGGATAGTTATACTGTTATATATGTTGTAACACTGGATAGTTATACTGTTATATATGGTGTAACACTGGATAGTTATACTGTTATATATGGTGTAACACTGGATAGTTATACTGTTATATATGGTGTAACACTGGATAGTTATACTGTTATATATGATGTAACACTGGATAGTTATACTGTTATATATGATGTAACACTGGATAGTTATACTGTTATATATGATGTAACACTGGATAGTTATACTGTTATATATGGTGTAACACTGGATAGTTAGTTATATATGGTGTAACATGGATAGTTAAACTGTTATATATGGTGTACACTGGATAGTATATATAGGTGTACACTGGATAGTTATATATGGTGTACTGGATAGTTATACTGTTATATATGATGATAACACTGGATAGTTAAACTGTTATATATGGTGTGACACTGGATAGTTATACTGTTATATATGGTGTAACACTGGATAGTTATACTGTTATATATGATGTAACACTGGATAGTTATACTGTTTATATGATGTAACACTGGATAGTTATACTGTTATATATGGTGTAGTTACACTGGATAGTTATACTGTTATATATGGTGTAACACTGGATAGTTATACTGTTATATATGATGTAACACTGGATAGTTATACTGTTATATATGGTGTAACACTGGATAGTTATACTGTTATATATGGTGTAACACTGGATAGTTATACTGTTATATATGGTGTAACACTGGATAGTTATACTGTTATATATGATGTAACACTGGATAGTTGTACTGTTATATATGGTGTGACACTGGATAGTTATACTGTTATATATGATGTAACACTGGATAGTTATACTGTTATATATGTTGTAATACTGGATAGTTAAACAGTTATATATGATGTAACACTGGATAGTTATACTGTTATATATGGTTTAACACTGGATAGTTATACTGTTCTATATGGTGTAACACTGGATAGTTATACTGTTATATATGGTGTAACACTGGATAGTTATACTGTTCTATATGGTGTAACACTGGATAGTTATACTGTTATATATGATGTAACACTGGATAGTTATACTGTTAAGTATGGTGTAACACTGGATAGGTATACTATTGTGTTTGGTGAAACACTGGATAGTTCTACTGTTAAGTACAGTGAAACACTAGATAGTTATACTATTGTGTTTGGTGAAACACTGGATAGTTCTACTGTTAAGTACAGTGAAACACTAGATAGTTATACTATTGGGTTTGGTGAAACATTGGATAATTATACTTTTGTGTGTGGGCTAACACTGGGTAATTATACTGTTGTGTATGGGCTAACACTGGGTAATTGTACTGTTGTGTATGGGCTAACACTGGGTAATTATACTGTTGTGTATGGGCTAACACTGGGTAATTATACTGTTGTGTATGGGCTAACACTGGGTAATTATACTGTTGTGTATTGGCTAACACTGGGTAATTATACTGTTGCATTATGATACGGTTGCCAGTCGTTACTCGATGTATCATTCGCCAACATCATGCCGGACGTGCATACTTCCCTGACAGTGTCTGGTACCCACTTTAGGCTGGGTAGACATGGGAGTCAAGGCTCCTTTTTCTTGTCAGATCAGCCCAGGGCGGATTCAAACGAAAACCATAACACTACAAGCATGTTCTGCTGTACCCCATTTCCAGTTTTAGTTGGCTGGATAATTTGCATCTCCTTGGTAGGATTTGTTTGTTGATCTCTGCTGCTGAATTGTTATAGGTAAAGTAGCCAACCCTAAATATTATCCAACCTTACCAGAAGTCGCTTTTTACGGCATGGTTGGTAGAAGTTACGATTACATGCTTTCCACATGGTACCTGAACACGTTGGTGTAATCCTCCATACTTGCCTCTTAAGACATGAGTAAAAGATTACAGTGGCGCTACTTTTTGCTTACTTTAGGGGCCTGGCAGATATAGGTTGGTTAATGATAAATGATGTTTATGTATTCAATGGTCGGCTCTGTGGCTAAGTCGATGCGAACGCTTCATAATGCCGGGGTACCGGGTTCGATCCCAGCTGCGGGCCATACGCCTTGCGTTGGTTTCGACAGTGGTATCAGAGAGCCGACCGTCCAGGGCAATGGCAAACTACTGGACGTAAATTTGCCTAGTGAAACCACACAACAGCCAGGGGCTGATGGGGTTGGTTCTGCAACGTCCTGTAAAGGATACACAACTAACCAATGTATTCAGTGATTTAATATTGTCTGTGTCATGTAATATTGGATAGTTGCACAGCTGAGCGTTTGGTTCGCCTGGCTGTGCTTTTGGATGCAAGCTGTACTGTTAATGCGCACTTTGCTCTAATTGTAGTTTTATTTTATTTTCTATTGCTTCCGACTCTGAGAAAGTATTGAATACCAATAACCATTACAGGAAGCACACTTTTTAGACAGTTGTATAAAAAGAGACATGATGTTTCTTGTGAGGCATGTTTGTTACTGTATCAAACACTACTCCAAACTGTTCGTATTTGTAAATTTGTTTTCATCACCAATGCATACTTTTGTGTATTTAATCGCAAGCATTGAATGTACAGTCTGTGAATATTATATGTTCACCTTGCTACAAATAGAAAAAAAAAGGGGGGGGGGGGGCATTCAACAAAATTATGGCAATTGTTATTCCTTACGTCCTTTTTAGGACGTAATTTTTTTTTATTTGAAGCCCCACTCTGGCTTTTGCCAGGGGCCGCAATATAGGCAGGCCATAAATATGGCCAATTGTCTGGGACCTCTCCACGGTGATCCTCATCCACATGGTGGCACTTTGTGTCATCGGGTGTTTATCGCTTGTGTGATGTCCTAGTGGGGTAGAAAGTCAGTCAGTCAGTTCAACAAAATAAATCACATTAACTAGACATGTTTCCCACGAACCGCCGTACACCTGTCACGATCTTTCACCAGTGAGTGACCCACATTTCATAGCCTAAACACCCCCCTCTTTTTTTCCCCCTCTCCCTCCCCCCGTTTGCACATGTGTACATTGCAGTGAACAGTTGCCAGCTCCTAGTAGGCTAATTAGCTATGTCGGCTCATTATGTTCTCATTAGTTACAATGTGAATGTACCCAGTGAATGTATGAATTCTGTTTCTATCTCATTCAGTGACAGTAGAGAAGTCTGACTCTCTGAGGGCTGAGAGAGATATGTACAGAGCACTTAAAGCAAGACGAGATGTACTTCAAGAATCTCTGCAAAAAAAGACAGAAGAATTAAAACTACTGTGTGTCAAGGAAGCGGTATGAATTTGCGCCAAATTAAAATTAAACTGATTGTCCTAATTATTCATTGTTAGTAATATGTAATCTTGTAATCTTAGTTTCAGCTTCAAAGCAAATGTGTCCCTCCATAGTTGCTCCGCTCCTCTGCGCCAACGAAAAACGCACAGAAGTTTATCACAGTTCCTTGTGGAAAGATTGACAGACAGCTTTGATTCAAGAACCGACATCACCGCACTCGGGGCATTCCCATAATCGCTTCGTCCCCATTTTCAGCAGCCAGCGAAATACTAATGGTGCCAGTAGCATTCTGATTGAACGTCCGTCTTGCCTTTCCTCTGAGCCTCGTGCATCTGCCAGAACCTCTCTTCACTCCTCCCTGCATCAATCTCACCAGACTGTGGTGATATTAAACCCACAATCCTATTTGTGACCCAGACGGGACTCAATGTTTAGCATGACTAATGTCGAACGCAGAAGAAGAAGAAGAAAATGTGGTAATCTATCTGCTCCTCCGAACTGTACACGCTCTCCCACAAGGCACTAACCACGTCTGCCTTATCATGTATCAGTATTCCACCAAGTTTTGCAGAGCCAGCCAGTCTGTCCACCAGTTCATTTCCCAACACACCGGCGTGGCCCGGTGAATAAATCCAGACAATACTCCTCACCCGCGTCCTTCGTAGCGAAGCATGCCACTCTGCACGAAGCATGCCTGTTCTGATCTTCCTCAGCATGCTTTCTGAGTCAGTTACAATCACGGTGTGTGTCGTGTTCTTTAGCCAGCGGAAAGCTGCAGTGACGGCATCCATCTCCATTCTTAAGCTGGATATTGTGGTATCATATGCTAGGCTCTGCTGCACCAAACGTCGACCATTAACTTTTGCTAAGAAGCCCAAGCACTTCTTTTGCCCCTTGACACTGAACCGTCTGTGTAAATGATCAAATCCTCTGAGCGAGCATTATCTTAAATTAATTGCTAAATTTCCACCTCCGTGGCACCTGCTGGCCAGTCTCTGCATTCCCGGCGCAGCGAGATTATGACTCTACACAAGTCTGACTGTTCAGGTGGCACTTTGACCCACTCCTCTCCTCCCCTAATGTTTTCAAGGATGCAAATGTGTCTTCTGCCTGAGCCATCCATGACCTCCCTCTTATCAGCCGCTGACCCTTAACTGCACCCAGAACTTTATACAAAGGGTGGTCTGTGTCTGCAGCTACCCTGAGATATGACTTCGCCTGTAGCACCTTGTGCCTACCTGCAATCGTCGGCAAACCAAGGCTGTATCGCACACACACACACACCACTGGTGTGTCTCTGGTGCAACCCAGAATGACCCGCATAGCCGCGTTCTGTATGTGCTCTAGTTTGTCCATCTGGTGCTTTGAGACAGTCCCAGGCCACAATCCACCATTGACAGGATCAGATGCTGATATAGTGTGAAAAGCATTCTCTGCTCAATGTCAACTGCAGCCATAGTCTTAAGTGCACTAAGTCCTTTTTGGCATCTCGTCACAACACTCTCCACATGGTCCTTAAAGGGCAGGCTCCTGTCAATTGTAATTCCCAGATACTTCAGTTTGCTCTCTCTGTTGACGTTTCTACTATCTATCGTGAAACTTGGGACATTAGCTTTAACGATTGTGTTGTCTAGAGAACACCACAAAACAGACGCCTTTTCCGGGCGGACGACAGCCCTCATTGCTGTACACCACTCAGTCACTTTGTCTGCTGTCGCTTGTAGCTCCCGGGCTGCTTGTCCCTCTCTTCCCCCTGCCTATATGCAAGTATATCATCCGCAAAAGTATATCATCCTTCCAACTCCTGGTGCATCTAGGCTTGCAATCTTGCTCGTATACACGTTAAAGAGCACAGGCGAGATGGCAGATCCCTGTGGCAGTCTTGGAGCCAAACTGCATGGTTCTGAGGTCAGAATGAGAGCAACCCGACGTGAATACAGGACAGCTGCAACCCAATTCACCAGCCATGGACTGACCTCCTTCTCCTTCAGTGCAGTCATTAGCAGTCATTAAGATGTCGTATCTCACTCTGTAATAAGCATCCTCGAGATCCAGTCCTGCCGCCATAGTTTCCTGTCTGTTCTGGAACCCTTCATAGACGTCAAAAGCAAAAGTGGAGTCCTTTGTGAAAAGATTGACAGACTGCTGTCTCAGCATATGCACTAGCATACACACGCATTAAACGCATATGGTAGCCATCCGAAGTGCTAGCACAAACAGTCCGACATTAGAAATACAGTTCATCATGGATGGTAGCAGAAGTCACTAACAGATCAGCAGTTGCACACGCGATCAATTTTAATCACATAATGGCACCACCAATATTGCGACAACAGGAATCGCACCATTTTCTGAATCTACAATTCACACCACCACGTTGGTCACAGTAAAAAACACTCCAAATGAAATCCGCAGCTCACAGTGTCACGCCATGCACTCAACCTAGAAGCTTGGCGACGAAACTGTATCCCTTGTCTACAAATGGAGCAAGAATGCAACGACCACTTTTTGACAGAAGCAAAAAAATTGCCACGGCTCAAAACAGTGGCCGTGCCTAGCGTCCATTTTGACCGGAAGTCATTGTTATGCTACGTTATGACCACAAGAGACTCCAATGGGTATGTGGGAGGATTCTTTAGATTCTATATGATATACCCATACTTCTTTAGTTGTATGATATGCTTCTTTAGATCTTTAAAAGTCTTAATTGAGAGTATGAGATGCTTCTTTGCAAATACAATAAGCTTTTTAGGTGTACGTAATGCTTCAGTATATGTTTGAGGTGCGTCTATAAGCACGGAAGAGGCTTCTTTAAATTTATGAGGTGCTTCTCTAGGTGTATGGGGCTTTGGATGTATGAGGCTTGTGTAGACTATGAGAGGTTTCTCTAGATGTATGTGCGGCTTTCTTAGGTCTATATGAGGTTCTCTAAGTATATGGAAAGCTTCTTTAGGTGTGTGAATAGTCTTCTGTGGATTTAAGAGGCTTCCTCATGTGTAGACAACGCTTCATAGGAATATCAAAACCTTCTACTCAGGTTTTAGATCAGTCACAGCAAGTGTTGTTCTAAAAAAAAAAAAAAACGTATAAAATATTTGAGTAATGTTTTCAAGGTCATTGTCTTATCCTTGGATATTTTGCCTATTCCATCAGTTTATCTATCATATCAGGTTTTTGTTTGCATCAACTCTGTATAAGCTGTCAGTACTGCTAAAACATCCCCTATCAAGTGTCAATAGGTCTATAAAACTATAAGGCTGGAATCATATTTTTTCAAGGTAGTTTACCTTTTACTTATGCTAAAAATGACAAATGTCGCACGGGTTTAGTATGTGATAAGCTATGACATTTTGTGATCTATGTGTAAAATTTTAGTTTATAAAATATTTGCGAACATGTAAGCAATATTTTGTTGCAGTCTTTTATAGTATCAGCAAAGTTTAATGCCTTTTATAAGCTCATATGTGCCAAATTCTTGTATGGGTCATCACTTACAAAGAGACACTTGCACACATTGTGTGTATGGGTATACATATATAAATATATATATGTGTATACATATATAAATATATATATGTGTGTATGTGTGGATGTATATATATATATATATATATATATATATATATATATATATATATATATATATATATATATATATATATATATATATATATATATATATATATATATATATACAAACACACACATACATAATGTATGTGTATATGTATGTCCACCATTTCAGGAACTGACAGGGAAGCTTCCTGATGACCTCCCTCTGTGCCCAGGTGAACCACCACCTGTGGTGAGACGTAGAGTAGGAACAGCATTTTGCCTCTCTGTTAAAAATGTACAAGATGCTGATCAGGTGGGGGCACATTAAATTTGTTTTTTAGATTAAATTGTAACATTTCATATATGTTGCAAAACGAAAATCAATTTCTTTGTCAGCACTATCTTGGAATGCTGAAACTCAACTGATATTTTTGTGCATGTGAAAATTATGTACAGGAACTATTTTAAAATGTCACTTAATTTAAACTTGTAAGCTCCCCTGTTAATCTTCATGTCTTCTAAGGCAAACAAGCTCTCAAAGCTATAATTTGCAATGGAAATGTGTTCAAATAACTTCTAAACTGAGACAGGGGACATGAAAGATTGAGCAGAACAGACGATCAAAGTAAAATACAGAAAAGACCGTAAAGTTATTTGTCTGACTGCTGAATAGAAAACAAAGTGTCAACTAAGCTGCAGAATAGCAATGCAGTAATGGCTAATTGTGATGGTTTTTGAAGTGATTGTTCACTAGTAAAACAGAAGCTGTCCAAACACTGAAACATTTATCAGCTGAAATTACTAATTATTTCACAAAGCAGAGAAGGCAAACAGAAATAGTGAACTGGATATAAATGCATGTTCTTGTTTTTTCAACTGGATATAAATTGATACATGTTCTTGTTCTTTCAGCTGGATATAAATAAATACATGTTCTTGTTCTTTCAGCTGGATATAAATAAATACATGTTCTTGTTCTTTCAGCTGGATATAAACTTTCAGCTGGATATAAATAAATACATGTTCTTGTTCTTTCAGCTGGATATAAACTTTCAGCTGGATATAAATAAATACATGTTCTTGTTCTTTCAGCTGGATATAAATAAATACATGTTCTTGTTCTTTCAGCTGTCCAATGATTTATCAAAACTGGAACTGGAGGTGGAACTTCAAGATAAAATTACAGCAGCCGCTTCTCAACTGGCTAGCGACAGATCAGTGGCGAAGTTTGTTCGCAAACAGAGGAAGCAGTCTTATGTCAGAGCTCTTGAAAAGGTAACCATTGTTTGTTTTCAATTATACCGTATTTCGTCTGGTTAAATATTTTTCTATCTTATACAAAGCCTGTACAAGAATGTAACTCTTTATAGCTGGCTGTAATGTAATTTATTAGGAATACCACTAGCATTGGGGTACAGCAGCTATAGACTGTGGATGCAGTAACTCTTGTGGAGCAGCACAACAGTTGTCAGAACTTGTCACCATTTTAGCTGTACTAGGCAGAGGATTTCACTACAGGTAGAATCTATGGGACAAACAGGGACTGTCCTCAGAGAATAAAACTGCAGTTTACTGCAATACTCACTCACCCTGTCCTCTGCCACATATCTCTTGGAATTATTTTTTAAGTGTATGGATTATTTTTGTCTCTTCTGTTGTATTAGGGGCTGCTGTGGTGTGGTGACTGGATGAGCAAAGGCTGTGACTTCAAATCTGCATAGAGACCTAATTTTGTCATGCATGACCTTGACTCCAAAGTTGACCCAGCCTTAAATAAGTAGCAGGTAAAGCCTTGGGAAGTAAAGATGGCTGATCACATCACCCATTAAGGGCCGACTGGTCTATAAAAATATTAATTTCTCCTCATTTGCCCAGTGCGCTATTTTTTTTTTAAACATTTCTTTTTTTTTTGGCGCTGTCAATTTGATTCCAGAGAACCTTCCAATCCATCATAAAATAGCTCACCACCCAGAGTAGCAGCAGCAGCCAATCTATCAGCCTGCTCACAACCCAATACACCCTAATCACCTGGCCACAAAATCTATGATTCCTGATTTGATTCTTATCATGAGGCAAGTCTAATATACTGGTGTAAATCACCTGGCTGGCTGCATTAGAATAAGACAATTGTAATTTTGGGTGCCTCATACAAACAAGAAAAATGGAGTACATGACACCAGGAAAGTTGAAGGGGAAGAGAGACATAAGGGGTTCATGAGAAAAATGTTACTCTTATATAGAGGAACATATGTATCAGAAATGACTACTAGAACACAAGACAAGGCTGTATACAGACATGAAGAACAATACCTCACAGCATGACCATAAGAAAACTTAAAATAATATAAATATTATTTCATTAACAAGTTTTAGTAACAGGGTATTTATTTAGTGACTTGACTAGAAATTTTAATTGAATTGTCCATTTTCTAATTCAACAGTTACATGACATGCAGAAGAACTGGACAACATGCATAGAACAGCTGGAAAGTACTCATTCACCAGTCATCACACAGCCAGGTCATTGGATACTGATCTTGATGATGTTCACATGGTTACTGCACATGACTTTGCAACGAATAGGAGAGACGATAGCTGTGGAAACAGTATCAAAAGTGTTGACTTTAGCGTGGGTAGTGACTTCACAGACAGTAAAGCTACTAGCTCTGGATATTACAGTCCAAGTGTTAACTCAATAAGCAGTAGGTCTTGTCAACTTCTAAATGATGACCTTAGTTCATTTTGTACCAGCTCAAGATGCAGTACTGTAAAATCAGTCAGAGACAATATGTATAGTGATTTTGATTCTTTGAATTTGGAAGTTAAACTAAGTAAAGCATTGACTGTGCCATTAGTTGATGACAAGAGTGATGCTTTTTCTCGGAAGAAGCATTTTGTTATAACCAGAGGACCTCACAGCGATCGCATCCAAGAACTCAGTGAAAGTTTGGACATGTCAAAGTCATCTACAATCACTAAGTCTGAACACAGAGCAAATTTTTCTCACCTGGCCATGTCTGAATGTGACCTTGATTGTGACAGCACACTTAATGATTCTGTGATGGAAAATGACACTTTTCATGACTACGAGGATGAAGATGATTGTCCAAGAGAAGAAGGGGTAATGTACACCAGAGTAGAACGTAGAAGACTCAATTTTATTGCAAGCAGACGACTGATTAAGAATTCTTATTCAGAGACAAAATCTGCAGGCTTTGAAAAAGGTTGGGAAACATTTCAGAATATTTTAATGGGTGAAGATATTGAACATAAAGATGTCCACACAAATGAACAACTTATCTCCTCTAGGGAGTCTGCCGTTGTTCATCCGAATAACAGAAATATTGCCAGCCAAATAGAAGTTAGTGACACAGAATTCCAGAATGAAATCAAGAAACTAATTGACAGCACAGATATTGTGGCACCATTAGTAAGAAGCCGTTCGCTTGATTGTACCCGTGACTTGAGAGTTAGTGGGTCAAACGTTGCTGCTGTTCACAAAAGTAAAGATGACACAAAACTTGGCAAGACCCAGACAAAATCGAAAAATCCTTTTACTTTTCTCACTCAGAAATGTACAAAACCCAAACAAATTAGAAATCTGCAAGATAGAACTCATGTGTCTGCATGTTATGGCTGTGCTTCTAAAGTAACACCTCATTTCAGTCACTCATTAGCTGAGTCTCGAGTAAATATCCATCATGGTGCCAGGTCTAAAAGAAAGAAACCCTGTAGTGGAGACACACAGCAGCATGAAGTACCAGCCTCTGGTAGTGATGTACAATACCAGAATGTGCCAGTTTCAACAGATAGCACTCATCATGTCAATTCAAACAATCATTTTCCCAGATCCAAGCTGCGAACAACAAAGCCTAGTTCCAGAATTTCAGACTCAAGGTACAAACAAATGGGAAGTGTAGGCACTGATGTGAGCAGCATTATTCACAACTATAGTTCAACTTCTGCAAGCAACGCCAAAGACCCCAGCAGCTATACAAGTGCTACCCAGATAGACCAGGAGTACCAACAGCGAAGACCTTCGGTGCATTCTGTCAACAGATCATTCAAATTATTTACAAAAAGCACAGAGACGACTGTGTAAGTGAGCTCCCATCTTTGTAACAGTTGTATCTTTTTAAAAAGGAAAAAATGCAGAGGCAGTTCTGTAAATGAGCCCTGTCTTTAGATCTGCTGTGATCTGTGGATTGCCAAGTATATATTCAGTCATAGGGACAGTATGATTTTATTGTTATATTTTGAAGAATAACAATGAAGACTCAGCTAAAAGTACAGTAAATGTGCAACAACATAAAATCTTTTTTAGATTTAAGTGTGCTTCCAGTAAGATGGCGGACATATGAAATGAAGATTCTACTGTGATGGCAACCAGAGTGTCAATGGGATAATTAACAATTTAAACCTTGCAATATTCGCCATGGAAGCCAGAGTAACTATATTTATAACTGTATCTATATGTTTGCTACAAATGCTGTGATGTAAATTGTTTAAAATAAGTCTTTCCACAAATGTCTCTCATACATGAATGCCTTTCATATAGCCTACTTATTGCATTCATGTTGCACGTGTACATGATCATCTCATGTGTGTTGCTTACCTAGTTCTCTACTTCTAAACTGGACCGGGTTAAATAAGTCAGAATTCATCATGCACATGATGTTATCAGGAAAACATAAAATTTTACAGGCCTAATACTGCCTTAAAAAATGTGGTGTGTTTTTTTCCGGAGAAAAACAAATTCTTTTTTTATATCAGAGCATAACCAAACACAATCATTGATACTGATCATAAACCGGTAATAGCAATAATAAAAATAGACCACAAGAAAACAAGATGCAAGAAGTTAAAAACAGAAGTCATCAGTGTGAGGAAGTTACAGGATAACACTGCAAATGCCAGCTTAAAGAAGACATCAAAAAATCTGTTTCAATAACTTTCCTGGCAAGTACTCAGATGTACAGAACGAACGAGCAAATTTCAAATCTGCCATACTTAACACTCTTAAATACAAATGTGGAACCAGAAAAGTAGGACAAGATAATTGATTAAGAATTGCATGGTGGAATAAGGATGTCAAAGATATTATTGCTGAAAATAAGGAAGCTTACAAAATATAGATTAAATTCAAATGTGAATAAGATTATGTGTAGAAGTTTCCCTAAGGAATTTTACAAACAGGTTAAAAATATATGAGAGGAAAAGCTGAATGGTACAATCCAGCCACCATTATAAACAACAAGAGAGGCTGTCCCGTATTTGATCCACATCAAAGGTTAGGAAGTGGGCTGAATATTTTAAAGAGCTGCTGAACCCTAAAAACAAGGTAGACAACATCAATCCTGTGTCTAAAAGCAGTGACCAACATGTAAAGTTAAGGACCCTTTTCCACGCCTTTAGGCATATGGGGCATATAGGGCTAGACCTGTATTTTATATACCAATCGGCACAAGATGGGTGATGTGGTCAGCATCACACTGACCGCCTTTACTTCCTGAGACTGCATCCAGTACTTACTCAAGGCTGGGTCGACCTAGGAGCCAAGGTCATTATCGAGATAAAAGTCCAGCTCCGCCAGGGAGCGAACCTACGACCTTACAATCCGCGGCGAGCGCCTAGCTGCTCCGCCACGGCTACTCCCAGTGACCAACATGAATCAAACTATTTAACATCAGAAGTAAAAGCTGTTGTATGTAAGAGCCTTAAAAACAAAGCACCTGGTATAGTTGGAATAATTCACAGACTATTTAACATCAGAAGTAAAAGCTGTTGTATGTAAGAGCCTTAAAAACAAAGCACCTGGTATAGTTGGAATAATTCACAGACTATTTAACATCAGAAGTAAAAGCTGTTGTATGTAAGAGCCTTAAAAACAAAGCACCTGGTATAGATTGAATAATTCACAAACTATTCAAGCATATGGTCAAACTGGCACCAAATTCAGCATGGGAAGAAAGGAAAGTTCAGCAGGCACTGATCGCACCAGTTTGTAAAAAGAAAGGTAATACACAAGACTTTGCAACAGAGATATATCACTCTTGACACACATACAATGAGAGGAGTAGATTGTAAGACCATGTGAACAGGCTAAGTTTAACATGCAGAAGATATAACATGAAATAACATACTATCAAAAGTGAAGCAATACAGGTCGGCAGAGTTTCTAGGCTGCTACATATCGGGTTGACTGGTACTTGTCTGCAGCAAGTTACAGAATTTCAATGTCTTGGAAGTATATTCTCGAGGGGATGGGAGAATTG